TCTGTAGCCATAGTTGAATTTGGGAATGAAGCAGAAGTTATCACTTTGTCCTTTGGCCACCATATTGGTCTTTGAGTATGAGAATTGAAATATCCTTGCAATTTGGGTTATTTAGCTGTTTATATCCCTTACCAACGTAAGGATGTTCTCCAGTTACATTTACTCTCTAGTCTTTCCACTTCTCACCCTATCAATTAGAATATTGTTAAAGCAACTAAAGAATACATGAAGTGATACTGTGAAAATAGAATTCAAAATGTGAAAAATATTGGTCTGTGATGTGATATAGTATTTGTTCCTCTCTGTTGTTAATTAAAATGACATTGTTGACGCCTTTGTAATAAGCAGGACAGGCGTACATTCAGTGGTGCATTCTCTTGAGAAAGTCATGTGCATTACATGCACCACCTTATGTTGAATGTTACGATCCTTCAATAACTTTATAGTTGATCCCTTCTGACAATGCAGGAGAATCTTCAATCCCTTGTAATTCATGTGGAGCACCTTGCATTTTGCGCACTGCCAATACTGCCAACAACAGGGGAAGAAAGTTCTTTTCATGTCAGTCACAGGAGTGCAACTTTTTTGTGTAGGGAAAACTAAATTTCAACATGAGTTTTTATATTTATACATGGTTTCCACCTGCAAACTTACTATATGTAAATATTTTCTATCTTGTTGTACCTCCTCTCTCCAATTCTTGATTATAATATGATCCATGATCTATCACGATGCAACCCTGTAAATGCTGAGAACTAATTATAGTTCTTCACCAATAAGCTGCCTCAGACATGTCATAGTTGACAATATCATAATCTGTTCGGCAATCTGTAAAACACTGTCAGTCTATCTCACTTTAATAGCTACACTCATTTACAAATAGAAATCACATCATCATACTGCTATAACTCTTTTATGTATTGGAGGTAATTACTATTCAGGAAGACGAAAAAATTGAATTGCTAACATTGGAACTTCGTTATAATTGCTCCGACCTCTGTATTACTCAGTTCTTGATTACGTTAAAGTAGTTTGTTTAGTTGATACACCTTTTTTTATCTGTACTACAGATGGGAAGATAATCTCAATGGAGGAAGAGCAGAGCGTGCAAATACTTCTGCATCCACTAGCAGCGGAAGAGGTGGCCGTGGTCGTGGCCATGGCCGTGGCCAGAGTGGTGCACATTCCAGTAATGTGTCATTTGTGTCGGCAACAGGTGAACCAATAACTGGCAGATGTTTTATTTGCGGTGATCCAGGTCATTTTGCTAACGTTTGCCCACGTCGTGGTTGATGAATTTTGAACTCTCTTGCATTAAAGGTGTTCTCTTTGAATGGCAACTCTTTAACTCCCAGAAGTAGTATTCCTTTTTATAGTACCATACTACCATTATATGTGATCTTGGTCATTGCAATGTGCCTAGCAAGGGAGATGATGCACTCACTCAGTCACTCTAATTGATGGTCTCTTCTAAATAGGATGTGAACATAATGCCTATTTTTGGTGTATATTGCAGTCTTGCGATGCTCCTTTACTTTGTTCAGTAGTTTTTTGTTGTGTGTGTATGGAGAGATTTTCTTGGAGTGAGATGGTAAGCTTGGCCTCAGCGACTGGTTCGTTATCTCAGGATCTCCTAATTTACCTTTGACCATTGAATGAACTATTCGGGTCTAATACTTGTAGTTCTAGTTGTGGGAAGTTACCTGAGGGACATGTAAAACTTCCCATTGAAATTCACTAAAAAGATCCTTAATGAAATTCTGAAAGCCATCATAAAACTGACTAGAGTTTATTGAACTGTTTGAAAGAGCTTTAGGTTCCAATTCTTACTAGCAAAACTGAATTGAGTTTGCTTTTTTCGTCCCTTTCTTTTTTATACTTGTTACTTTTGAAGAAATACGTCTACATTCGCTTTTTAGAGTATTTATATCTTTCAGTCTCGAGCGGGTGTGCAAATAGAAATTCAATCTTTTACCTCATAAAAATAGGGATAATTTCATAACAGAGCAAACTTCAGCTCTCTAATTAGAGATAGTTTTAAAAAAAATATCAAACATATACTTAGGTTTTATAGCACTCAAAATATAACTATGTTTTTTGATAAATTTTTGGAACTTTCACTATAACTATTAATGATAATTATGATTCAAATGGTAACTATTTATGAAATTTCCTCTAAACATAACCAGGTAAGTCCAAATCCAAGTGGACTTATTTCACTTATAAGCTCAATCATAGGGTTCATGACCTCTGAAAATATTTCAATTTAATAATTAGTAATGTTACTGCAATAGATAACTAGTAATGAGTCATTCCTAGATAAAGTGGATGACTAGCAACTTTCAATTGATCAAAGAAATACATCCATAATTCTTTACCGATTGACTATTTTCACCTAACAATAAAATCTAGAAATGTTCCTCACTTCCAACCTTAAGGTTGTGAGTTTGAGTCACTAAGGATGCAAAAAGGTGCAAGATCTTGGGTGAGAGGTAAACAACAACAAAAAAAAAAAAAACAGTTTTGACAAGAGGGAGTTACTCGGATGGTAAGCACCATTCACATTCAACCCTGAGGTTGTGAGTTCGTGTTATCAAAGGAGTGAAAAAGTGAAAGCTCTTGGGGGTAAGGGTTAAAAAAAAATCTTCAGTCTCTTTGTAACGAGTCCACACAAGTACTATCTACTAATTTTTGGTATGTATAGTGCATGTATATTGAGTTATGTATTATATGATTTATATAGTAGAATCTTGAATAAAATATTATACAAAATCATAAGCTTCTAATAAAAAAAACGAACAGTAATATGAATATCCTAAAAGAGTACATTTTTTGTGAAGAGACTAATGTGGATCTATCATATGATGATGACTTGTTTGTCGATGTCACAATAATGGATCTAGTTTGAACCTATGAATGCATATTATAATTAAAATTTAAAATCTGAAGAGATCAATTGTTGAAATATATTAAATATTCATCTAATTTATTTCATTAATTTTAGACATTTCAATAACATAATTGAAAGGTAAATATATGAGTCCAACATTGCCTATGGTTACAAATATTTTTGGTCTCAAGTTATTTTTACGGATACATAGAAATTATTATCGGATAATAATAGTAGTATTTTATAAAAACTCTATGAAAATACGGATTCGAATCACTTTTTTGTTGTATAAGTCATTTGTTTTCTTTCCAAATTTTATAAATTATTCTGAAATGTTTATTTGGTTGTGACAATTGATCATTGTTATCTTTTTCTATATCTTCCTATAAAACCCCAAATAGAGGAATATATACATAATATATATTCTATCTAAGATTTTCAATTCTCATATTTGTGAAGTTATTCGTGCAAACTGATCTTTTAGTTTGTATGTTATAAAATGTTATTTATGCAAATTTTGTTTGCTAAAAGTTACATGTACTTTTTTGATAATTTTAATGTGCATCGATTTCAATTGTACTAAATTACATGAAATTTGTAGAACATTAGTATCATTACCTTCTAAGTTAATTTGAGATCAAAATGAAATTATCCATTAAAACGGTGGATTTATATCAATTTATCTTTGGCACAATTATTTAAAAGAAATAGTTGATCCTTATTGGTTTCTTTAATACAAACTAATTTATGTTATGAAATATAGGCTAGCTGGATTTGATTCAGCTATTCCCTCTGTCTCATATTAGTTGATCATCTTATTAAAAATAATTATCTCATATTAGTTGCCACTTTACTAAATCAAGAAAGCTGTAATTAAAAATTTCTTATATTATAAAGTTACCAGTTTCAAAAAAAAAAACTCTTATATTATTCTTGTAAGTGTTCACATTTATTTGTAAAATTCTCAAGAAAATTTATTGAAGGAGAATTAGTAAAATTATCTTCTTTAATTTCTTAATATACGTGTAATAAGGAAAGTAATCAACTAATATGAGACGAAGAAAAATATTTCTTATTCCATTATTTTTATCTTGGACCGACACCGATATGAATTGTGTAAGAAAAAGTATGTGATATAATGTTATAAATTAAAACTCATACTTAATTTATAAGTTATCACTATAGATTTTTTTTTTTTTTAAAAAAACAACTACTATTAAGAATGATATAATTAAAAAAATAATACATGAGTATATTTTGTAACGTTGAGAAACCTTGGAAGTTGTCAGAGTGTAACGAGGGGTGCGGATTCCAAGAGAGAGTAAAACAGTCCCCATCTGCATCTAATGCTAACTTTGACAAACTTTTGACTAAAATAATTGACATATACCATCGATATAATGATTTACTTCTAAAAGGGCGTATATATAAGGTATAATAATCTCAGAAATAATTATGCGTTTGGTTGTAGGTATTAGACGGTTCTGAGGTTATTTATTCACCATTTATATCTTAATAATTCTGAAATAACTTGTTCCTAATCAAATAATTTTGATCAACATAGATTTTGTCACGATCTAAAATTAGAAATCGTCATAGCACCTATGTTCTCAACCGATAGGTAAGCTAATCCAATATTTTTACCGATTTAATTAAATAAATAAAAATAGATAAATAAGCGACAAATAGTATATCCCAATGTTAAGTCTTTCAAAAGTATGAAATGCAGAAAAACTAAAATATCATTCAAGATTTGATTCTTCAATCTACACATCTAAACGTAAAAAATACCATATCTAAATACTAAATCGATAGAATAAACTAAGAGATAGATGAAGGTATGGTCCACAAACTCACATGACAAATACTTTTTAATAGTTAAAAAACAAATCACAAACCAATTCATTAACCAAACACATTTCGACATTACTCCCTCCTTTCCACTTTGTTAAAAACATTATATTTTTATTACATAGTTTTTGTTAGAAGAAGAATGACACTTTTTTTTATATATATTTCCTTAATTGATGAGAGATGTGTATGGCCACACAAATATCATCACAACATTTTGGTCAAATAAAAGACATTTGCACATAAGATTTGGAACATGTTAAGAAAGAAAGTTACTAGTACTAATAGTTAGTAAATGTGAATATAGGTACATAAATGGATAGTATTATTACCAACAGAAAGAAGAAGGTAACTTAAAAGAGAAAGAAGAAGGAAGATGACCAGTCCTCCTTATATAATCTGCCTTTTCTGATGTCTTCACAGCTTTTTCATTCAACTCTGCTTCTGCATTACCTCTTTTCTCTTCTGCTATTCTTCTTGATGCTGCCAATTTGTTTTTGTACTTCTCCTCTGCCCTTGCTTTAATTCTCTCTGCCTTCACCTGCAAAGACAGTCGATAAAGTTCAGTGATCATACGTGAAAAATAATAATTTTAGTATAGGACATAGGGAAGTTGATTATTTTCAAAAGTTACATTGATATTAATAAGTTCATACTTGGTGTAACAACAACAACAACGAGAATACATCGCACAAGTGAGGTCTGGAGATAATAGAATGTAAGCAGAACTTAGAGGCTCAGTGAAATCCCATAAGTGGGGTCTGGAGAGGATAGAATGTAAGCTGACCTTACCATTACCTCGTAGAGGTAGAAAGGCTCACTGAAATCCCACAAGTGGGGTCTGGAGAGGGGTAAAATGTGCGCAGACCTTACCACTACCTTGTAGAGTTCGGGAGGCTGATAATTTGCATCTATGAATTTTAAAATATTAAATCCGCCTCTAACAATAACTCAAATAGTTACCATCACAAGCAAGAACATATAGGGAATGCAAAGGATTAAGATATATTACCTCCATTCTTTTCATTTCCATTTCAGCTTTCCTCTTTTCATGATTTTCCCAAGCTTGTATTTTCACCTCTTCGCGCTTATACCTGCATATATTTGTTATTACTCATATGATCAAATGATTAAAAGTTGTTAATAAACACTTTTAAGTGCTGAAACTAGTTTTATAGATTTTGACAAAAGTGTTGAAACTGATAATGAGTACTAATTCCGAATCAGTGAGGCAGATTATCGAGTACATTACCTTGCCATATACTTAGCGCGTTCAGCCTCATCCCACGCCATTGCACGAGTCTCGAGTGGATTAACCTTGTTGGGATGATCTGTTTCCTTCTTAGCTGCTAATTCATTGTCAACAGTTTCCTCTACATCACGAACAATTCGTGTTGTCCCTGCATTTCCCCTGTTCTGACCAATGTTGGCAACAATTTGACCATTTTCGATTGTCCCATTTTGTCCCCTAATAGGAGTAGAAGATCCTGATGATATTGGGCTTCTTACCGCTGGAGTTGTTGCTCTAATTGGTGTTGCTGTTCTTGATGGTTCTTGGCTGGCAATTGGTGTCATTTCTGTTCCCATATCCCTAACACATATCGATCGAACAACGGATGCAGAATTATTCTTATTTACTCTCCATATTGATTCATCACAATCAACTTTCTTTGTTTCAACTTCAAATTGAATCATACTAGAATCTCCTTCATCGTCACTCGAATACTCTTCTTTCTTTGGAACAGGTGCAATCAACCTTAAATCATCAGCATTCGAGTTTCGAGGTGTGGCTTTCGATTGATGTTTTTCTCCTCTTGATAGATTAACTAACCATTTTTGTGCATCATCCCATTTTGATGGTGTTGGTTTACCTAATGCTGCTGTTCTATGATGAGTCGAAGCTCGATTTGTTCCATGAAACTCAAAATTCATACTACTACCTCCTACAACCTCTTGTTGTTTTTGTCCATAATTCAAACATCCTTTATCCTCTATAGATCTCATTTTCTCACTCTTCTACTTCCCTTACAGACACTTGAAAATCTTACGGAAAATACCTTCTCCACCACGAATACTTCTACTTTTCCAACAATTACCATGGATTTACAAGGCAGATCTACAAATACAAAGTTTTCATCAATTAAAAGTAACACAATACGAAATCAACATTCAACAATTACAAACCTTTTTATGTTTTAACACTTAAATCATATGATAAGTTAAATTAATTGTACTAAATGCAACAAAAACTTATGTTTAGACAAACAAGTGAGACACAATAGGAAATCAACATTCAACAATGACAAACCTTCTTATGTTTTAACACTTAAATCATATGCTAAGTTAAATTAAGTGTACTAAATGCAACAAAAACTTTATGTTTAGACAAACAAGTGAAGTTAATTTAATTAGTAAGAAAAAAAGATAACAAAGTAAAGAATTACATAAACTAAGTTGAAGAGAAGCTGACCATTTACATGTTGAAGAGCAAAGCAGAGAATACTATGGCCTTGGAACTATGAATTTTTGAGATACAAGTTCAGATCCACTCTCAAAACTTTAATACTAAAATACTCTTCATTTGCATGCTACACAAAAAAAAAAAAAAAAAAACTACTCTAGACTATACTAGTGTAAAAATAATAATTTAATACTATTATCGGTATATTTTAACATGTAGTAACAAATAATTACGTACTATTTATAACTATCTGAAAATGACTTGATATTATAAAAAAAAATTACACTATTTCCTTCTGTTTCATTTTATGTGACATTCTGTTCATTTTTTTTTATTTCTCATTCGATATTTGCAGTAGAGCTCTGACTGAATTCAGATCATGCACTGCAGGATCCATTCGGGGGTAGTGCTCCCAACAAGATTTTTTTCATATGCAGAGCTCGAATCTGAAACCTCTGGTTAAGGGTGGAGCAGTCCCACCACTGCATCACAAAATTCTTCTTTTTGATTTATAATTACACAAATATCTAAAAGTTATTTTACAATACAATTTTTTAAAATATTTTTTTTTAATATTATATCAAGTCAAACGATATCACGAGAAAATAATATAAAGGGAAAAAAGGAAACAAAGTTTCCTCTTTCTCTGTAACGAAGTACCAACTCTATTACCTAGAGAGTAGTGCATATTATTCCTAAATATACATAGTGACTTTTGTAACTTACCTCCCACTATTCACTCTCTATGGAATCTTGGGAATAGTTCCAGTGACACCCTAACCCAAAAAACCATACATAAATAATGATTCTTGTGATTTTTTAAGACACTGCTCCACCATATATAGAATAAAAAAAGATAACTCCATTCAATATTTGATTATACATAATTTCTAAATTGTAACGGTTAGTAGCTATAAGTAACAAAAGGCAGCTGTAGACATCAATTGAGAGTGACACTTGGGGTTGGGGGGGTGTACAATATTTAATGTAGATGTCAGTATATGAGTTTTTGGCAGTGTTATATTAGATAGATTGCTAATAAACGAAAAAAAAATTCTGATTTATTTCACATGGCCAGGATGGGCATAGGACTGTGTTATTTGTTTTCTAGACTATTTTTGTGGAACAATTTCTGAAAATATTAAAAGGTTATGCCCCAATTTTTTACTATATATGGAGGTACTCTATTGGGGAACACACTAGTGGATTTAGGATGGGTTTATTGGATGACTTTTTGATTTAAAATAGGTAGGAGAAAATGCATAAGTATTCCTTTTATTTGAGTCAATTTTTTAATTATACACTTAATTTTTTTGCGTTTTATAAAAATGGAATAAACATATCATGAATATTGAGGTGGTCATAGAGAGTGTGTTCATTCTTTTAGAAGAGCGTGAGAGATAAAAAGAAGTTGAAAATTGATTAAGAAAGATTCACATCATAGTCTAGACCTTACGATTAAGATAATTAACGAGAAGTTGATTTATGCAGAAAATAGGTGTTTGCGGATATCATTTACGGCCCGTAAATTGAATCATGGGTCATAGATAGTACACGTGAACTAAACTTTAGAAACTCAATATTTAGCCTGATTTTTATGGATGCGTTTACGGGTCGTAGATCCTTTTACGAGCCGTAGATCCTTTTAGGGGTCGTAGTTGAACTCGTGAGCCGAAGTCCTATAAATTTCAGCCTGATTTGCACGACTGGAATCTACGGTCTGTGGATTAAACCACATATAGTAGATGGCCCTCGTGGATTGAAGTCGAACAACTTTTTAAGTCATGGTTCTTTTGGTCTTTTCTCACTCTTCCTAAGCCTAAGCAACAACGTTTCACCATTCTAAAAGGGGTGTATTTCATTTAGAACCTGGTTTTTTTTTTAATATTCTTCTACACTCGCAACTCTCCAAAACTCAGAACAATCTCAAGCAATTCAAAAGCTAGGATTCCAAGATATTCGAGCAAGTTCTTCCTTTTAATCTCAATCTCTCTAGTATGTAAGGTTTTCGATAAGGGTATTCTTTCACTCTCATGCTTAACTTGATTTGTTTATTTTCAAGAATTCTTACAAAAGTATTAAAAGAAAAGTTAGGGTTTATACGAGATTCATGATTTTCTTCATACGCTTATGTTCTTGACTTATTTACTTCAGTTTCTAAACCTTATTGAACTAGTTTAATTGATTCTATGATTTCTTTGATTTTGATGGCATTTAAGCATGAAATTAGCATTACACAAATTTCAACTTCAATATGGACTATTTGAGATATGATTTTTGAGCTTATTCTCACACTTGATTCAGATAGATAGATAGTTCACCTATTTATGAGCATTAATATATGAACATATTTTGGGAGGATTATTTAGTACCGAGAAGACGTGGACTTATGTTACCACCTAAATATGGACGTGATGACACTTGTCTTTTTCCACCAAGACAAGTCAGTCTCAACCCAACGAAAACGAAAGAAAAGCGGAAAACAGTAAAGATAAGGATAAGATAAAGCGAAAAACTTATTCTTCTATTAAAATCTCAAAGTCTGGTTGTCACATGTACAAGCCACTAAATATATAAGTGCAAAATCACAAAATAAATACAACTCAATCTTTGTTTCTCAAATAGAACAAAGTGTAAGGAAAGGAAAAAAGAGGGTCCGCCGAATGACAAGAAGCTACCTTTTCAAGTCCTTGACGAGCCTCGAGATCAATAGAAGGAGAAAGAGATCACACGAGTTCGGGCTTGAAACCTACACAAGTGTAGAAGCAAGGGTGAGTACCAACAACACGGTACCCAGCAAACAACCTACTAAATAAAACAACTAGCTAGAAAATGAATACCCCTTAAACTCCAATTGAACCTCCTCAAATTACAACCTTCACAAAAATCAGCCCAACCTAGCAATTCTACAATACACGGCTCACAGGCCCAACATTCCCAGTTCAATCTTCACATTCCATAATCAATAAATCAAATAAGTCAATCTCAATGATAAGTAGTCCAGTTACACATAACAAGAACATCAATAACAATTCACAAGTAAGTCACACATAAACATCAAGTGTATTAAGTTACAATGATCATCACTAGCCAGAACCATTTCCCATTGTCTCTACAACACTTGTCGGCAAACACCTCAGCATGATAACACTCACCGACGAGGACCTCAGCATAATAACACTCACCGGTAAAGACCTTGACATAATTACACTCGCCGGGCAAAGACCTCGGTATAATAACACTTGTCGATAAAGACCTCAGCATAATAACACTCGCCGACAAAGACCTCGACATAATAACTCACCACATGGCTCATCATGGTGTTCAACGATCAAAGCACACAAGCAGTATCACACCACATAGAAGAGACAACAATTTGCACAATTCAAATTCACATTCATGTTTTCAAGCATTTCATCACCCAATCAATAAGGGTTCCATTAAGGGAATTCACATCTTCATGTTCAACACATAGCATTTTTTTTATTTCAACCCTTTTTATTCATTTAGATGTGATAAGTGGACAATTTAACCCTTCACCTCATCTCCATTACTCCTAACACACAGGCAATGAAGAAAGCATACGAATTCAACTATAATATAAGGTTTAGATAACCACTTGCCTTAAATCAATCAACAATTACTCCAATAGTTGAGTCTTCTCTTTCCGAATCACTTCCGAAGCCACACAGTCTATAAAAGTCTTCACAATCACTTTTCGGAAACAACAACACCCACAACAATTCCATTTAAAGGTGGGTCATTCAACACAAATCTAATTCCGAAAATAAGGTTTGAATCCGAAATTTAATACTTGAAAACATTACTCAAGGCTTTAGGAACTCATTAGGGAAAATCATTTCGAAAATGAACTTGAAAATCAGAACATAACTCACTTTTACTTCAAAACTCAAGTTCATGAAGAACTTTCAATTTATCAACCCAAAATCTTGATTTAAACTAATAAATACAATAATAATAATGGGTAATCAAAGATTTAGAGTTAAGAAACGTTACCCAACAAATTTATCTTGAAAAACCCACTTGAAATCGCCTTTATCAAATTATGAAAGCTCTAAAAATGAAAATGGGGAAGAAACACCAAAATTGGGGTTCAACACTGCTAGGGTCCTCTGCGAACGCTGACAGGACCTCCGTGAACGCGGAAGCTCTCCCGCGAACGCGCCAAAAGCTCCGTGAACGCGAAGGGTTGCACCAGAACACAAAAAAAACAGCAAACTCAAAATCATTGAAAGGACACTCAAGATTCGTTTAGAACCCGGTCAACACAAATCACTTATGCAAATCAATTACACTCGCGTTCCAGACTCAATGGAACCTTCAAAACACGAATTTGAGGTCTACTTAACCTGGCATCCGTAAAAATCACAATAAACTAACTCGACGCCTAAAAGGGCTAAAACAAACTCGAGACTTCTCAAAAATCAACCAAGACCTCACTTAGGCCTAAAATCATCCCCTGAATCCAATGGAACTCTCAAAATTCTGATCCGAGCATCCGAACCCCGAATATTGACCAAAGTCAATCTAAAGGTTAAAATTCCACAGTTTCACAACTTAGGATCTCAAATCCTCTAAAAGACTCGGAAACTGAAACTGACAACTCTCACGGATAAAATTTCACATTTCGAGATTGATGGAATTGATGAAAACCCATTCCGACGCTCGAAACTCTAAAAGACAATGAAAACCACTTTCTTAAGAACTTAGTCTTTCAAACTCAAAACTTACCAAATTCTCAAAGTTTAAACCAACTTTTCAAACTCAATCAAAAACAACTTGGGGTCGACATTGGGAGGGTAAAATAGTAATTTCCATGAAACAATAAAAACTGATCGACCGGGTCATTACATTATCCACTGTTAAAAATCATGTTCAACCTCAAACATAAGGCAAACGAACGTACCTGGAGCTTCAAAAAGTTGAGGATATCTAGCATGCGTATCTAACTTTGTCTCCCAAATCACCTCACCAACTGAACAATGCTTCCACTACACCTTCACTTCAGTGATCTCCTTGGCCCTAAGTTTCCGTTCCTGCCTATCCAAAATGGTTGTAGGCTCCTTCTCTAAAGATAAAGTTGGACCCAACTCAACTAAATCAAGGAAAAGTACATGGGACTCATACGACACGTACTTTCGAAGCATGGAAACATGAAATATGGATGCACAACTGACAAGTTAGGTGCCAAGGCCAACTTATAGGC